CTTCCTTTGCCTCCATGAAAGTTGTTTTTACCAAGTTTCCGCGCCCCCCCCCCCCGCCCCCACTAGTATGTTCTTTACTGATATTGTCTTCTCTATAATTCTGGAAGCGGGGGGAGGGTGGTTCTGGTGTAGACTCTTAATAGATTTGTTTTAGATAGAATGACAGTATTACAGAAAGAAAATGTGATATGACAGCTGAGACTCTGGCCTTGACCTTTAGTTTTCTCCTCTGTAAAATATCACCACCTACCCCAATGATGGGTGAAAGCACATTGTAAAGTTAAAAGTGCCACATAAATGCATGTATGAATAGTAACAAGGGGCTGCTGCTTTGAGTCTGGAGGAAGGCCTGCACAGCCATTCACTTCAGCTTTTTGTGCTCACCCTCACTTGGTTGGCAGAATAAATTAGAAATTTCTTCACACTGAGCCAGAATCTGCCTTCTTGATGTTACATTGACCTGCTCTTAAAATCTGCTCTCTTGAAAATATGTAACTTACTTTGGGTTTTACCTCCTGAGGCCACAGAGGGAAAATCTGACCCTCTGCCAAAGAAGAATCTATCAGATAACTGATGATGGTTCTGAGTCTTTGCTGATCCACAATAAACATCTTCAGGTTCTTTAAGTGTATCTCTAACAGCATGGTTTGAGTTCCCTGTTTTATATCTTAGATCACAAGCCCATGAATGAACTCTGGCTGGTCTACTTTTCAACTTAAAATGTGGAGACCAGAATGGAGTATAAGACCCAGGTGAGGTCACAGATTCAGAGTATCCCACATTCTATTTACTTTGGGGGAAAGCTTTACCATGCTGTTGACCCAAGAAATCTCTATCACTTTCTCGCTTCTGCTACTTAGACACATCCCCCATTCTGTCCTAATGCAGCTGGCTTTTTTTGGACACATACAATCATTCAATTCATCCTATTACATTGATAAACCCAGCCTACTATTCTATCGTGAAGCTTAGGCTGCTGTTTTTTCTTCTAGTAAATCTCTTTACAGCTTAATTTCCCTGTTGATTCAATCACGATGCCATCAAGTCCTCATCCAAGTCCAAAGAGGACAAAGGTAAGGTGAGTATGCATTCATTTTTCACTCAACAAATTTACAGAGAGTTTGCTATGTGCCAACACAGGGCTAGGTCCTAAGGATATGATGGAAAGCAAAAATTGGCATTCTCTGCTCTCATAGAATTTACCGTATAATGAAAAAGAAACCAATCAGATAATTACTCTAATTATTATATTAATACAAACTAGGTGTGCCTAAGGATAAGAATGTGGTTTTATGAGAGCATGAAACAAAGTAACCTGACTCAGAGGTGGGTCTTAAGAGAAAGTGACCCTGAAGGTTGAGCAGAGTTGACTAAGTGAGGAGGGAAAGGGGGATACACCAGATGGAGAGTACAGACAAGCACTGTCCTATTAGAAGACTTTCTTCAGACTATTTGTTAGTAGGCTGCTTAATTCCACCACTGTGCAGCTTCCATTTCTCCACCTTGTCTCAAAGGTTATTCTGAATGACGGACTAACTCTTCAAAGCCAAACTGAAGTTTAGTTCATCAATCGGTTCTTACAGAATCCACACTCCTGAAACCAGGAACATTTCCTAACTTGAGCCTTCTCACAACATTCCCCCTTGTATGTATCCTTCAAAGTCAACAACTACATTTTCACAAACATCAGCTCTAAGCTTTCTTCATATTCAAGATGCAATTTATCAAAACCAAGACTCAAGAATTAATTCAGGCAGCTAGAGTGGTATTTTTCCAAGTGTGATCCAAGGACACAGTGGCGTAAGAACCACCTGAGGTGCTTGTTAAACTGCAGAAACCTGAGACCAACTGAATAAGAGTTGAGAGGGCTCAGGAGTCTACACTTCACGAGCTCCCCCAAGTCACTCTTCCACTGCACTGGTTGAGAATTCCTGAGTTAGCTGTGTCCTCACAGCACTGACACTTACGTGGAGATTTAATCCCTGATACTGAATCCTCCTGAGTTTGAAGTGCACTGGAGTTGTCTGGCAAAGAGGAAGCAGGGTTTTGAAGGCAGAGACCTGGATTCAAATATGCTCTACTACTTGGTATCCAACTGAGCTTGGACAAGTCAGTTTTTCCAGGCCTCAGTTTCATCTCTAATATGTGAATAAGAATGTCTACTTCAGAAGGATGTTGTGGCAAGTAACCAGGAGAATCAGATAATGATAGAGAAAGCCTATCATTCTCTGGAACATTCATTGAGGCCTACATACCATTCATAGCAAGCTGAATAAGACATGAGGCATATGCTGCATACTATGTACGCCAGGATGAAGGAAACAATGTTCATCTCATTAATTTGCTTTTTGTTTGTTGCCCCTGTCCCTTGGTGGTTAAGGTACAAATTATTCTTGAAGCCTTTTCCAACCCCTGTGCCGTTTTCTGTTAACAGAGTCCCACAAAAGAGTTTTCACCTGCCCTTGAACCACTGTACATATGCCAAAGTCCTGAACCTCAAGCATGGCTTCAACCTGAATCTTCTTCACCAATCTTATCTCTCATCCACCTCCCTGAGTCTGAGCACCTAAGATCACACTGGTTCCACTGCTTATTAGAATAAGGCCTTGGTGAAGTTACTTAAACTCTCTGTGCCTGAGTTTCCTCACCTGTGAAAGAGGGATAATAACTGTGCCTATTTCATGGGGATTTCCCAAGTATTAGATGATAACTCAGGCTGCACTCATGTTAGCTATTCTCACTGTCACCGAGCCCACATGAGCAGCTGCTTCCTCTAAGTTCTCTGAAGGCTCACAGCTTCTCCTTCCCTCTGGATTGTCAGTTTCTCTTTGCCTGTAATGTATTCCGCCTCTCCTCACTGCCACCCTCCACTCCTCCATGCTTAAATGTCATTCCTCTGAGAAGGCTTTAGGATCCACCCCCTTCACTTAACAATTAGGTTAAGAAACCTTGTTAAACACTCACTCGCTCTGTACTTTTCCTTTGAGGCACTTATTATAATTCAGTGTTTGTTCACACCATTAAAATAGGGAGTGTCTTACACTGCTCCCTATCCACCTTGATACATAGCACAATTCCAAGTCCATAATAGCACACATCATTTAAGGATCTGAGAAATAATGACTTCTTAAATCTGACTAGGCCCAATCTTTCTCTCTTGGGATTATAATAACCTCTAACAGTCACTTTTCTGCCAAGGGGCAGGACTCTTCAATCCCTTTACCTTCTGGGGTAAGATTTTCACAAATGCAAATCAAGAATTTAACAAATGAACTTGTGGCTGAGTGAGACTGCCAGGAATGTGTGTTGATTCAAGTTATTTTAGATTTGCACTGCTCAGTATGGTAGCCATTACCATCTGTGGCTACTAAGCACTTGAGATATTGCTAGCCCAAAGTGACATATGCTTAAGTGTAAAATACACTCTGGATTTTAAAGACTTGGTACAAAAGAAGAACGTTAAATATCTCATAATTTTTAATATTCAGTACATGTTGAAATGACACTATTTTGGAAATATGGGGTTAAAGAAAATATATTATTATAAATTAATTTTACCTACTTTTTTTAAATGTCTTTAAGCAGCTACTAGAAAACTGGCACATATGGTTTGCATTGGGTTTCTATTGATAATGCTGTTTTAGTCTATATGCATGAAAGGTATGTTCTATTTCACAACATCCCTCCATGTCTTCTCATTTTAATTCACAAAACATGCTCCAAATTCCTTGAGTATTTCTCAGTAATGGTATTTCTGATGCATAGGCTACTCCACCAGCCCTGTGAGCACATCTGATCCTTTTTAATAGGGTAGTTTCCTACAATTGTTATTTAATCTTGAGCCTCATTACATCAAATCCTAACACTGGAGATTTACCATCCTGTGGCTACTTTCTTTTTGCATTGTAAACATTATGGCTAAGAACACAAGATCTACAAGGGACCATTTGTTTTGGAGTCCTGGCTCTGCCACTTACTAGCTGTGCAACTTTGTTACTCTTAATATCTCTGTGCCTCAGTTTCCTCAACTGAAAAATGGGGATAACAGTGTCTACTTCATAGGGTTGAGAGTAATCTTTGATATTGGTAAAGTGCTAAGATGGTCTCTGGCACACAGTAAGCATTCAATAGGTAAAGACTCAATGCACGATTATACACCTCTCACCCTTTCCATCCACTCACATGTTCTCCTGTAACACTGGGCACCTCTCCTAGTGATGTTTTCTTTCCAAAGCTGACATTTTACATTCTAATTCCAAAACTCTGCTACTCCCCAGCTGAGAGTAGCACTTGGGTAAGGTACTTCACTTATCTCGATTTTTAGTTTGTCTGTAAATGAAAATGGCTATTGTCACCTTCATTGCACAAGTCTGAACCACACAATGTATACAAAAGTTCCTTGCATGGTCCTTAGTATTTAAAGGATGCTTCATTTGCATTTTCCGATTTAAAACGTGTGATCCTCACAATAGACCAGAAGGTAGATATTTTAAGAAGAAGGAAACAGGATCCGGGAAGTCAAGACTTGCCCGAAGTTGCACAGACAGCTACAGGGCAGCGCCAATACTAGAACGAGGTTTCACTCTGAATCCAACGTTTTTTCATGAAATCTAAACTGCTCTCCAATAGCATGAGTGTTAGAACCTATTTATGCTGTTTATGGCATTCCAATAATAATTGAAAGATGCAGCAACCGGCAAACCTGCCCACTGAAACTGCAACAGAAAATCAAAATACAGATTTTTTGAATGCCATTACGAGGTCAAAGAACCCAAGAGCCCTAGAGTTGAGAGTCGTGGATTAAATCTCGGCAAACAAAACTGAGCCACGAGTTCCTCCTCTAGCCCCTCCGAGGAAAGTAGAGGGTGAGGAGATGCTATTGTTGGGCCTTCGGGATGGCCAGGCGGCCCCCAGACCCGGAGGAGGCCACGGCCGCACCTGGCCGCCGGACCCTCCCCCTCGGATCTCCAGGCCCAGCGCTGCGCCCTCCCGCCCCTCACCTCCGGCTCCGGGCGCTCCGAGGCCATCACACAGCCCTCCCGCGCCGGCCCGGGCCAGAGACGATGCTCCGCTCCTGACCCCTGACCCGGAGGTCTCGCGACTGGCGGGGCCGGAAGTGAGTGGGAGGGTCGAGTTCTGCGCTTTCTAATTGGCTGACTTGGGAACCGGAAGAGGAAGTGATTGATACCGCCCCCACCGCCGCAATGCAGGTGAGGACCAGTTTGTTTGCTAATGACCGCTACCTAGTTTCGGGTAACGAGACCGAAAGTGGGCTGGCCGAGGAGAGAGTGAGGAGTTGGGGCTGAGAGGACGGGGTCGAGCCCGCGACTGTGAGATAAGGGGACGCGCGATGGGTGCGAGGACCTCTGGAGAGGGATGGGGGTGGAGCCCGGCTGACAGGAGACAGAAACTGCGGTTAAGTTGGGACGGAGAAGGCAGCACTGTCTTGCTAGGGTGTGGAAAAGGATCAAATTGTAATTTGGGAAGGTGCAGTCCAAGGAAGATGGCTCAAGAAAGAGGTGGATTGGGCTCGGGCTCAGGCTCCGGCCTAGGCTGTTGGATGTGGACAGAAGAGAGAATCTGTAGTTGGAGAGAAGCCCGAGGGTGGAAGGAATTGTGGGACCGTGGCGGCCAGAAGCTAGACTAAATAATCTGAGGCCGTGGGTGGAACCCAGCTCCTGTCCGGCACGTTTGGGGTTTTGCAGTTTTGCTTCATTCTTCCTAGTCTGTGCCCTAGTAGTTAAGGATGAAATGAGATAAAACTGGAGATCGTAGACGTAAAGGAAATGTTATGGAGACCCCTCAGCTTTTAATATAGTTTGCCTAGTGCTTGGGTGCATGTGCGGTTTTGTTTTGTTTTTCATTTGTCACTGTTTGTTGCACAAGGGTAGTTGTCAGTACATATTTATAGGTTGACTAAGCTTGCAAGACGGGCACAGGAATATTGGCACAGCAATAAAGTGAGTGCAGATTAATTTAGCAAGGAAGAGGTTGAAACAGCAAATGCTGAGGGACGAGGAAGGTGGGGGTGGCAGCGGTGGTGGCGGTGGCAGTATTCTGAGGAGCCTTCCTGTGTAGGTAGGTTTTCCAGAGATTACGTCATTGCCAAGAACAGCCAGGTTCACAGGGCAGGTTGTGGAACAGAGGACCTATGCTGCTGAGGTGTCCCAAACATAATAAATCCAGGCATTACGTCTGCTGAAAATTGTCCAAAGAGGGAGAACAGAGAAAAACCAAGCCTAATATAGAGAAACAATCATGCCTGGATTAAAAGCAATGAGAGGAAGGAATCAGTAGGTAGGAGGAATTGAGGTCAGATGAATGGGTTTAAAGGTCTTAGGGTTGATGCTGTCTGTGATCCTAATACCAAAGATAGTAAACAGCCTGACTCTCCCTGTGCCAATGAGATTCTGCGTCACTGTACTGGTGTTGCACACTGTCACCCTGGCTTTTCAGCCATCCTCTGTATGCATCATCATTACACTCATCTGAGTAACCAACCCATTCCTGTTGGCTCAGAGGGAGGAAAAACAGCTTGAGGCATCATTAGATGCACTGCTGAGTCAAGTGGCTGATCTGAAGAACTCACTGGGGAGTTTCATTTACAAGCTGGAGAACGAGTATGACCGGCTGACCTGGTAAGAGTTGCCAGGGCAAGCTGGGGAGGGCTTGGGTATCTCCAGCATTTATCACTTTGTGAACGTCTTTTGATTTAGAAAGAGCTGGGTTTCCTAACATTTAACAGTGAAGTTGGCCTTAGGCCCCAGTTGTAAGGGAAGTAGTGAAATGCCCAATTTCTCAACCTAGGTTCTTTCTAGCTTTTCATTCTCCCTGTTTGACTTCTCCGGAATGAGGTCCTCCAGCAGTGGGTCCTCCCACCACAGTATTCATACTGGATTTCTTGCCACGGGTGTTGCCAAGTCTTTTAGGTCCAATCTACTCAGAAAGTTTGGATCTGGAAGGGGATCTTTTACCCAGTTTCTGAAGATCTAGTGATAATAGTGTAGCCATCGTTCCTATTTTGCCATTGTCTTCACCCCATTCAAATATAGTAGTTCCCCATAATCTAGTACTGAATCCTATTCTGTAGGTTTTTTTTCTATACTACTTGTGTGGGTAGTGTATACATCATGGATATGCTGGACAAAGGCATGATTAACATCCCGGGTGGGACAGAGTGGGATGAAGCAAGATTTCATCATGTTCCTCTGAACACCTCCCAATTTAAAGACATGGATTGTTTATTTCCTGGATTTGTCATTTATTATTTATTGACCACAGGTAGATGAAACCTCAGAAAGTGAAACTTAGGATAAGTGGGACTGCTATAATGACCTGTCTTTTTTCTCCATCTGTGTCAGGAACACAAAGTGCATCCCTCTTTCTTAACCCCATAATCCCTATGAGCCAGTCTAGTTCCTGTCCAGGCCAGCATAGGGCTGTGAGTCTTTTGGGAGTGAGTCTGTTTATTACTAGTCTGAGGGACCTCTTTGAGGCTCCTTTACCAGGAACATTCTGACGTCTTCTTACCACCACCAGGCCATCTGTCCTGGACAGTTTTGCCTTGCTTTCTGGACAGCTGAACACTCTGAACAAGGTCTTGAAGCATGAAAAGACACCACTGTTCCGCAACCAAGTCATCATCCCTCTGGTGTTGTCCCCAGACCGAGATGAAGATCTCATGGTAAGAGGAGGAGAGGGATGCAGCTTAGGAAACAAAGTTCTTAAATGAGGTCTGACAGCATAGTGGTTGGTTTCTATTCTAGAAATTTTGAATATACAGTAGTGTGTGGCAATAAGTGGGGGCTACATTTTGGAGGCCTTGCTTGTCCTTCTGGAGTTGGGAGACTCCCAAAGAGTGCTAAATTAACCCTAGGCCTCCGGCACCAAGATAAAGACCTTTTTTCCTCTTTCCTCCAACACCTGTCTCGAGCAAAGAGTTTGTTTTTTTGTAACCTTTCCTGTTTCAATCTTTGGTGAAAATGTGGCAGAGAGGGGTTTATCCTTAGATCTGGTAGAGATAGGGGTGAGTAGATAGAACTGAAGGATGGATTGAGAGGGATGGTGTCTTAGGAAGCCAGATATTATTAGTCTTAGGTTGTGTTTTCCCTGAAAATGCACTGTTTGCCTGTGAAAGGAACTATGTGTATATCAGGCCAGAATTGAATCTTCTTGGAGTGCACAGTAGGATCAATAAAATCTGTGTGTTACAGAGGCAGACTGAAGGACGGGTACCTGTTTTCAGCCACGAGGTGGTCCCTGACCATCTGAGAACCAAGCCTGACCCTGAGGTTGAAGAGCAAGAGAAGCAGCTGACCACGGATGCTGCTCGCATTGGTGCTGATGCAGCACAGGTTGGACTGAGTCACTGCCCTGCTGCCCCACACCCCCGAGTTTTACCTGGAGAAGCTGAGTATTCCCACTCCTCTATTGTAGGGTATGGCAGTTGGTTATGCCTCCATTGCCCCTGGAATAGCTCAAGAAAGAAACTTTCCTGTAATCATTTCTTGCTTGCCCTAATTTCTGCACAAACTTACATGTGTTACAGAAACAGATCCAGAGCTTGAACAAGATGTGCTCAAACCTTCTGGAGAAAATCAACAAAGAGGAACGAGAATCAGAGAGTGGAGGTATGGAGGGATTGGTGGCAAAGTGGTGGGGGAAAGAGGGATAAGATCATCGAAATAGGAAGGGTGGTGTTGGTAGTGGTGAAATGAGGATGCAGGGATGTGCTGTTTAGCCAAGGGTATGCATCTGTTCTTTTGGCCTTCTATATTTCAGGCCAGCTCTGGGGCAGGTGGAGAAAGGCGCAAAGGGAGAAGGGAGAATTCTGAGATAGTCATGGGGGTCCTCTGGCTCTTCCTCTGGGTTGCCAGGAAGTCTGGATGCTACCGAAGTCAGAACTCCAAGCCCTGGCACTCATACTGGTCTTCCTGGTGCTAGATGCAGTCCAGGGCCGGAGGCATACCTTAGGGTCTCCACTTCCCTTGCCCTTCAGGTCTCCGGCCGAACAAGCAGACCTTTAACCCAGCAGACACCAATGCCTTAGTGGCAGCTGTTGCCTTTGGAAAGGGGCTGTCTAACTGGAGGCCTTCAGGCAGCAGTGGTCCTAGCCAGCCAGGCCAGCCGGGAGCTGGAACAGTCCTCGCGGGAGCCTCAGGATTACAGCAGGTGCAGATGGCAGGAGCTCCAAGTCAGCAGCAGCCAATGCTCAGTGGGGTGCAGATGGCCCAAGCAGGCCAGCCAGGTAAGGCGACAAGGACTGGCTTGGTGACAGACCTGGAGCAGGAATGTGAAAATAAACTGGGTGATCTGCCACACTTCCCCCTCACCCCATCCCCAGAACTGGAGACATTCTCCTTTTCTCCCTTGGGCTGTGACCCAGCAAAAAACTCTTGAGAGTGAAAGCCTCATTTGAGACTCTGTTAATAGGCACCAGACAATGAGAAAGAACTTTGACTAAAGTTGCCCTTAGCTACCCTTCTGTCCCCTTTAACTTTGGGTAGGTATGTTTTCAGTGTCTCACGCTAGGTATTAGGATCATTGGGTAGATGTGTTGGGAATTGACAAGCAGGCAGGTTTTCCAGTGCTACGCGTATTCCTTGCTCTGTATCCTGTCTCTTCTGCTCACTCTTAGTAATTATAAGAACAGTCTGGAGGGGTTCGGGTATAAGCATCTTGGAAGAAGTATTTTCTTCCAAGCTGTCTAGGCAAAGGGACAAGCTCTCTTTTTCCATTAGGGGAGGAGCAGGAGCCTGCAGGGATGTGTTCCAGCCCTTCCCACTATTCCTCCTCCTGACCACCTTCAGGTAGAGGGCTGAGCAGGGAGCCGTACCTCGGAGCCTTGTCACCCAAATTCAGATGCCACAGATTCTGAGCTGATGGAGGAGGTGACAGAAGGGAACCTGGGAGACAACACTTCTGATTTATGATGAATATCTGACTGTGCTTCAGGTGTCTTTCTTCATGTTCTTTTTAGGGAAAATGCCAAGTGGGATAAAAACCAACATCAAGTCGGCTTCCATGCATCCCTACCAGCGGTGAGTGCGGGTGGCAACCTCCACTCCCAGGTGCTCTTTTCAGAGTTGGGAAGTGAAACTGCCTTTTGCCCAAAGCTGACCTGGATGGGTACAATGAAAAGAACACAGGCTTTCAGCCACAGACAGATCCCATCTCCACTGCCAACTAGCTGTGTGACCTTGGGCAAGTGACCTGCTTTTTCTGAGCCTGTTTTTTGGTTTATAAATGACGGCAATACCTACCTCATAGGGTTGTTGTGAGGATTAAAATGGGAAAATGATGTAAAACACTTAGCACAATCTATGAAATAATGAGTATTCAATAAATGAGAGTTTCTTCAGCCACTTCTCCCCTCTGCCCCCTCCTCGGTTTTCGATCCAGAACTTGCCCTGATCTGAGACTGCTTCATGTCTGTGGTGAGCTGATGGACACAAGATCGTGGACCACTCAGCTTTGTTTGAAAGCCTGTGCTTATTTTGTGCCGCCAGAGCCGGTGACAGCTTCTGTGTCCTTAGAGGCCCGCTGCCTCCGCAGGCCTTGCTTCCCAGATTCCAGCCTGGCCATCTCTCCAGGCTGCAGGTGACAAGGCCTCCAGGCCGAGACAGACCATCCACTTACAACTCTGGAGAAGCCTGGGCCTGCTCTGCTCTCCATCCTGTCAGAAGCCAGTTCAGCTCTCATCTGGGAACTAGTCAGAGTCCCCTATCCTTTACCCCACCCTGGGCACATGAGGGAAGATGTTGAAGTCCCAGTAGGTGGGGGCTTCCTCAGGAAGTGGCTCTGCCAGGCACTTTTTTCACTACGTGAAAAAGGGTTTTGTGAGCACGTGAAAATGTCCCTTGTCCCCCAGATGTTTTTTTTTTTCCCCCTCCCGTGTTTTGGAGGGAGAGGGGAATTGCACCTCACACTGTCTCTCATTATGGTTGAGTCATCCTCAAAGTGTGCCTGGTTCCTGGGCTCAGTTAGCATGACTTTTCTCCAGTCCACTGAGCCGGTAGTTCCAATAAGGGTCAAGTGGATGGTGGGAGGTGGCAGCTGCCAGCACTTTTGCCTGCTTCTATAAAGCTGGAGAGGAGAGTGGGCTTGGGTCACCAGCTTAAGCTGCCTTTCTTGCCTCTCCTTTGCAAGCGAGGGCAGGAGTTGAGTCAGCAGAAGTGGACCAAAGGATTGCTCTGAATAAAGTTATTTAAGTTGATGACCACTGTGTCGGGGTTATCTGACAGCAGGTAAATTGAGAGAGCTATGTGGGGATTGGAGACTACATGTCAGAGACTTTCAAGGTTGCTGCAAGGCAATATTTTTAAAAATTTTACTTATTTACTTGGCTGTTCTGGGTCTTAGTTGCAGCATGCAGGATTTTTGGTTGCGACAGGTGAACTCTTAATTGCAGCATATGGGATCTAGTTCCCCAACCAGGGATCAAACCCAGACCCCTTACAATGGGAGCCCAAAGTCTTAACCACTGGACCACCAAGTCCCAAGGCAATTCTTGTTTGTTCTCCAATAAAAAGTTTTCTTAGGTTTTTTGTTTTTTTTTCTCTTATCTGTAGGTTTGATCTAAAAGTCTTGAGAGGTAATAAGAGGGCATGCTCATTCCTCCCAGCTGCCTTTTTTCTGTTCTCTTCTGTCACACATTAGTACTTCGGTATTTGTTCAGTGCCAGGCAGGACTCTGCCAGGCTGTGGCAGCAAAGGACTGGAAAAGTAGTCACAGATGTCACATCCATTTCAGTTCCATCACGACCAGATGTGTATCCACACAGCTCACTGATCACAGCACACAGAGCGCGGCGAGTCCTGCAATCAGCTCTGAGGCAGCGTCAGACGTTCTCCCCGCCACAGCAGGGCTGCCTTACTGGCCTGGCAGCCCGCTCACTCGTTCCTTCTCTTCTCTTCCCTTTGCACTGGAAATATCCGAGCTCACTGTCACATTGGATAGAATTCAAGGTGTGCATCTCCAAAACCCCTGGAGTATCTTGGTGACCACTCTCCTTTATTCCACCCAAAGATTCTTCCTGTTGAAAGTTTCTTGAAAACGTTTTAAACCTATTGAAACTAACCCCAAGTGTCTTTGTTGTCTCAGACTAATAGCAACATCATCCCCAAAGTACTATTTGAAATGGATTCCTTGTCCTCCCAGAGTGGAAGTGCCCTCCTGTCCTAAGAGGAGCATACTCGGGACCCCACTTCTATCTCGTGCCCTTAAGCAAACTGTCTTTACATCTATATTCACTCTGAGAGGACATGCTCTCATTCCCAACCTCCCAACCCCCGATCCTCTGGAGTGTACAAACCTAGCAGCATCACCAACTTTGGGGCTCATACAGCCCAGCAAGTGTCTCAGTGGAGAGTATCTCCCATCCCTAACATACTCATCCCCAAAGGAGGGAATGGAGATAATATTATAGAGTTTCAAGAAGAGGACATTGACCTGCTGTTCCCTTGCTCAGATTTAAGATAAAAAGATGGCACTCTTGCTTCCCTCTGGTAGTATTGTCCAGTTTCTAATGGCTTTGTTTTGCCTGGGGCCTGTGCTTTCTTCTACTCTTGGGGACCCGGGGAAAATGAGGTTAGGCCATTGTCTCCCAGGTGTGCGTCTGGGATGGCGAAAGAAGCAGCAGCTGTGAAACTTAACTACAGCACAGAGGTCATCCTGTTGAAGGCGGAAGCTTACTACATCAGTATTTGCATGACACCCATTGCTAGGACTGCCCCCTCCAGCTCTGCCCTGAGGCTGGGACTCTGTCATTGCTGAACATCTCTTCTGCACATTGCCCAAGTCACCCTGTTTTCTTCCTCTGCTGGTGTCTGTTGCTGCCCTGCCTAGTTAGGTCATTTAACTTGACCTTGCACTTTCTTGGGAAATAGTCAAGGTAGATAGGTTTTAGCTAAGTGCTCCTTCAAACTCCATAATCAGTCCTGGTGTTTGTACTGAACTGGAGCCGATATAGTGCCCACCTCCTGTCCTGCTGTTGAAGAAGCTGATCTCTGCAGGAATGCCCTAGTGCAAGGCCAGTCCCTTTCCCACCCCCTTCTCACCTCCCCCAGGCAGCTGGGAACAACCTCTCCCTTTGTCTGAACTTCTTGTACAGAATAATCCTCCTTACGGACAATGTATTCTCTGTGCCTTGTGGACACAGGAGCCGTGTGAGCTGATCCCAGCACCAGGCAGGACGGGGGCGGAATCCTTCCAAAGGCCCACGCTAGATCAGCTCCTAATTACTGTCTAGAGAAACCGCCAAGGGATGTACATTTTCTTCCATCTGTTCCAAGTTGTGGGGGCTGGCCTATTGAAGTTTAGCAATGGGCCAGGAGTAGGGCTGGGGGCTGTGGTCCCTTTGTGATTCAGTCTGGAGGGTTCACTGTGCCAACCTATGGAGGCTCAGTGTGGCTCTGGCCTGACAGCCTTGAACACACAGGGGCTAACATTTGGAAAGAGTTTGCCACCCTGCAGGTGAGGCTTTCTAACTGAAACTCCAGTCATTGCTTCAAGATGTATTTTGTCCTACGGGACAAATTTCCTCTCTTCTTCCCTTTAACTTCTGTCTCTTATTTTCTATTGAGGCAGGTTTTGGCTGTCTGTTGTCACCTCTTGATCAGTTCACATGCTCTCAAAATATCATCTTCCCCCAAGTACACAATGGACAAGGCCCCTGAGTTCCCTGGGCCTCCGTTTTCTCACCTGGGTGCTCCCAGTGATCCTTCCTAGCTTTCAAGTCTGACAATGATTCTGAAGCCTGTATATCCCCAGGCATTTTTCATTTTCCTTATTGCATGACTATGTTATGATAGGCAAAGTTTTTCTTAGACTGGCCTGCCAATCCCTTGAACTCCTCCAAACTGTTCCTAAATTTCCCTGTCACCTGCAGCTTAAAATACAGACCTCCCTCTAGACCACTTCCCTAAAATTGTTTCCTAACTTTCACTAGTTCTTTAGTAAAAGTTACAACAGAGATAAATACATTGAATGCCAGAAGTCACCTTCCCACTCAGGCATCTCCTCTCTGGGCGAGAGACTCCGCCCACCCCCCCACCCCCCCAAGGCAGCAAATTTTACTTTTCCACATGATAACCTTCCCCATGGAATCGATATATGCACTCAGGCATCTCCTGTCTGGGCAAGATATATCTCTGGGCAAGAGATAAATACATTGAACGCCAGAAATCACCTTCCCACTCAGGCATCTCCTCCTCTCTGGGCAAGAGACTCCATCCCCCCTAAAGGCAGCAAATTATACTTTTCCACATGATGATAACCTTCCCCATGGAATCGAATCCAAGGCACCAGGGGTTGCTCCCCTTCCTGTGTTTCCTCTGCCATTTCACTCCCTTCCCTGCTGTCACCCAAATTTCCCTCCTTCATGGTCATTTTGATAATGAATCTTCCCTGACCCACAGCCCATGTGTAGACCATCCTTGTTTTGTATTCATTTCTCTGGGCTGCACCCATTTTCACAACCCTGGTTAGTATCCTTCCATGCTAATCCTTGAGCTCACATCACCACTCACTTGACTCTCGGCCATGCTCTTGAAATACGGAGCCTACCATCACCATCTTACTTCACGCCCCACACTCACTCTTTAGCCCCACTTCCAGTCTTCCTCAGGAACTAGCCTGTCTCCTGTCACTGCTGACCTGATAGCTAAATCCAGACTTTTTTCAGTCCTTCTGTCTCTTACTTATCTTCATGGTTTTAAACAGGGCTGGCCTTTGCTTTTCCACCTTTTCCCCTTTACTGGCTCCCACTTCTCTGACCTTCCTTTCTCTGCAGCTTTTGGCCTTCTGTCCCTCTGCCTGCTTCTTAAATGTTGTTATTCTCCAGGACTCTGTCATTAACCTGCTTTTCTTATTCTACCTGCTGTCTCTGTGACCACCACTTTTATGTACACAATTCAAACAAGTTTTATCAGACAGCCCAGACCTCTTTGCTGACATGCAGATGCCTATTGGGTATTTCTGCCCCTATGATCCGCAGGTACCTCAGGTTCTGAATGTGCCAGTCCAATCATCTTTCCCTCCAAACCTGTTTCTTTTCTAGTATCCTAGGTGTGACCTAAGCCAGGTCTATGGAAACTGTCCTAAACACTTGCACACTCAGTCAGATAAAAATCCTGTCAGTTCTGCCTCCCCAGGATCCATCCATCCTGGATGGCCAGCTGATGTGAAGAACCGATTCATTGGAAAAGACCCTGATTCTGGGAAAGATTGAGAGCAGGAAGAGAAGGGGGCCTGGAGCCTCACCTTAAAAGTGATGTTTGGACTCCCTGCATCCAGGCTTGCCCATTCCAACTCATCTTCCGTATGGCTGCCAGATAGATTTCTGCAGATCTGATCACATTATTCCCTTGATTAAAGTCCTTTTGATAGTTTCCTTCCTATGGTTCTCAAGCTGGGGTCCACATACTAGACAGGTTGGTAGGGGCAGTGTGCTGGGCATACTGAAAGTTATAAGGTAAAGCTCATGCTAGACTGCCCATTTTACTCAAGGGTAAGTAACTTAAACAAAATGCAGAATTATCAGGCATGCAGTAAAGAGTAAGTAGACTTTGGAAAATTCCTACTAGTCCGAAGGATTTCATACTAAGTCACTAAACTCTCTGGGGATATTTATTCTTTTTGGTTTTTTTTTTTTTTTTTTTTTTTTTACATTTATTGCAGTGGACAAGTTTGAAAAACAGCGCAAATTTCCTGGAAAAGAAAGTTGAGTTTTTTGTGATCTAGCCCCCTGACTTCTCCTGACTTAATTTCTGTACTGTCCTGCCACTGTATTCCCACATTGTACAAATTGCTTGATGTTTCCTGAGTGTAACTCTCTTTGGCCTCCCATTCCTTTATTCCCACTGTTCCCTCTGCACAGAACATTTTGTCCCATCGTTCTGTGATGAATATCCAATCGTCTTTCAAAATTCAGCTCACAGGTCACACTCTGAAGCTGTCCAAGAAACCTGTCTGTCCACAGCCCAGTGCCATTCCCACTAGGTGCGGTCAATGACCTGCTCTTTTATGCTCTATATTTGTACCTTGTACAAACTTATTCTAGCTCCTGCTGTTCTTTATTGCCCCCCAAGTTCAAGCACCCTGCACTGTCAAAGTTTGAATCCAATTATTCTATCTGAGAGCTATATTTTCTTTGGCAAGAAATGTGCATGCCTGGCATACATGGCATCTGGCCCATTATAAACACTGTAAGTGGTAGCTGCTGCTATTACTGTTATTATTTGGTTGACCTTGGAAAGAGAGTATAGTCTAGCATTTTGGTTAAAAGAGTATTTTCTAGTGCCAGATTGTCCAGTTGTTCAGTCGTGTCTGACTCTTTGCAACCCCATGGACTGCAGCACACCAGGCTTCCGTGTCCTTCAATATCTCCCGGAGTTTGCTCAAATTCATGTCCATTGAGTTAGTGATGCTATCTAACCATCTCCTCTTCTACTGCCCCCTTCTCTTCCTGCTGTCAATCTTTCCCAGAATCAGGGTCTTTTCCAATGAATCGGCTCTTCACATCAGCTGGCCAAAGTGTTGGAGCTTCAGCTTCAGCATCAGTCCTTCCAATGAATACTTAGGGTTGATTTCCTTTAGGTTCAAATTCTAGCTGTGCCACCTACTAGCTGTGTGGCCTTCAGCGAGTTACTTTCCCTCTCTCTGCCTCAGATTCCTTATTTCTAGGGGTGATAATACTAGTGGCTATTTCACAAGGCTTCTGTGAAGTTTAAATATATTGATACATACAAAGCGCTTAGGATAGTGTGCCTGACAATAGTAGAAGCTCAGTAAATATTAACTATCCTCAGGGTAGTGTCTGAAAGTCTGCTGTCAGCAGTTGTTGCTTTAATCAATCATTGACCAGTCCCTCTGTGTGGAGGTAACTCTTCCTCCCTTTGTAGCTCATCTGTGCTCACAGCTCCGTTCACACTAGGAGAGACTCTCCATGCACATTTAATCCCCCCCTGTGTGCAGAGCAGACACTGGAGCATTTCTGCATTGACTTGCCTAGTGTAACGAGTCATTTCCACATCTAGTTGTGTGAACTTTCTTTCTCCCACTTAGTTGTCACCTACAGTCTTCTATTAAAGCCCAGTTTGGTCTCCTAAACTGTGATTTTGAGTTGAGGCCATATGACAGGCTTCCTCCCTGGCAGTGTTCCTTTTCACCCCTTCTCTATCTGTTTGCTGTCCACACCATTTGAAGATTCAGTTCCAGTCTGCCCACATCTCATCTGAAGGGGGCCCTTCACCACTCAGAGGTCTCCCTGTGCACCTGGGATGTGTCCTCTGTCCCTGCTCACTCAGTCCAGGCTTAGGTCTTCACCGGTGGCTGTGTGTGTGTGTGGTTATCACACACCAGAGCTCTATGCTCTCTTCCCTTCACAGTCACCACCAGTCCTTTAGGCCTTGTTTTGCCACGGCAACTCCATGGTTTTTGTCACTATACTCTAAGCTGTAGCCAGTACCTGCGGACCAGGTGTTATCTCACACCTCCATGCCTTAAACATGCTTTGCCCTCTCCCCGGTGTGTCTGCCCTCTCTTTCTCTTGCTCCAACCTCCTGTTCACCTAGTGAACAATTCGTCCTCCCAATAGCACCTACTCCTGTGAAGTCTTTATCACTTCCTCCCTTTTACAGTTGACCATTCTTAAATTATACCTGACCTGGAGATGGTGACTGCAGCCATGAAGTTAAAAGACACTTACTCCTTGGAAGGAAAGTTATGACCAACCTAGACAGCATATTAAAAAGCAGAGATGTTACTTTGCCAACTAAGGTCCGTCTAGTCAGGGCTGTGGTTTTTCCAGTAGTCATGTATGGATGTGAGAGTTGGACTGTGAAGAAAGCTGAGCACCGAAAAATTGATGCTTTTGAACTGTGGTGTTGGAGAACTCTTGAGAGTCCCTTGGACTCCTAGGAGATCCAACCAGTCCATCCTAAAGGAGATCAGTCCTGAGTGTTCATTGGAAGGACTGATGTTGAAGCTGGAACTCCCAATACTTGGGCCACCTGATGGGAAGAGCTGACTCATTTGAAAAGACCCTGATGCTGGGAAAGATTGAAGGCAGGAGGAGAAGGTGATGATAGGATGAGATGGTTGGATGGCATCACCAACTCAATCGACATGAGTTTGGGTAAACTCTGGGAGTTGGTGATGGACAGGGAGGCCTGGCGTGCTGCGTTTCATGGGGTCACAAAGAGTTGGACATGACTAAGTGACTGTACTGAACTGGACACTTGTCCATTATGTGACCTTAGGCAGATTACTTTAGTTCCAAGACCCTCGATTTCCACCTCCTAAATCAGTGCTATAATCCCGTAATATGCTCAGTGAAAGGTACCTTCTACTTAGCATATTTAAAATTCAACTTAAGTAGCTCTTACTTTACTATAGGATAAAGTCCAAGCTTCTTAGAAGGGCATACAAGGCCCGCCAGGCATATAGTCAGCACTGAAATGCCAATACTGTTCTCCTTCCCCTGAGCAATCCCTTACTCTCTCCTGAGCAATCTTGTCTTTATCACATAGCATATTAGACTATTTTGATTATAACATATTACAATTAAACTAGCTTAACTGAAAAAAAAAAAAGAGAGACCCAATGGATTTGGGTTATACAGATGGGGAGTTGGAGGGTGACTGGCTCCGGCAGGTCAGGGGCGTGGTGTTGTCTGGGTTTGGGCTCTGTCTCTGTATTTCTCCTCTCTACTACATATAGCTCATCTCATGGAAGAACTCTCTTGTTGCTTGGATTCTGCGCCATTAGGAGCACTGAGGGAAATGGAGAGAACACCAGTGGGGTTGGGCAGAAATTCCATAAAGGAAATGAAAGCAGGGGGATGGGAAAGTATCTGAATGCAACCAGACTTAAAGCTACAACAGTCTACTGTGTGTGGTTTTATCTCTGCAGACAATTTGCAGATACTGTCCCCCGCACCACCACCCCCCACCCCCACCCATGACCCAACCCCATCCTTTCTCCTAAACTTACAGTACTGTGTTTCAGATTGCCTGTGGAAGGGGCCATCTTTCCTCAAACTCAGGATATCCCAAACTGCATTCACTTCCTCCATCCTGCTCCATGGTGTTATCCAGCTTGCCAGTCTGGCTATCAGTTCTGGTCCCATCCCCTCATCTTCCTTCTTGCTCCCTTCTAGGTTAGGCCCTCACCGTGTCTCACCTGTGCCTCTGAGCCGGTCTCCCACCTGGCCTCCCTTCCTCTGCCTTCCTCTTGATAATCTCGCTGTCACCAGGTTTTTCTTTGTAAATAACAATGCAGATCATACCAACCCCTTACAAATCTCCAGGGACATCTCAGTACAAACAAAACTCCTCTTTCTTTCATTCAAAACACTTTATGATTTGGGGCCAACCTACTTTTTAACCTTCCAGCATATGAAGGCCTTTCACTCACTGGATCCTGTAGCCAAATAGAATCACTTGCAGTTCCCTGCTCCTGTCCTAGTCTTCCCTCCAGCCATCCCTTTGTCCATGCTTTTTCCTCAGCTTGAATCATCTATGTTACTTCTACCTCACTTGCTGTGTCACCTTGAGAAAAAATCCTTCACCCATTCTGATTCCATTCTTTCCCCATCTGTTAAGCAATGATCACAGCAGTTACCTTACAGGACCGAACCGTAGGGGCACGTGGGAAGCAGCTGGCCCCATGCTTGCCGGAGAAAGTGTTGCATTTTCTCTTTCCCCGTTTTGGCCTTTCTCCCACATCTTCCAGATCTTGCTAACTCTCTTTGTTCCATCTTGATAACCTCCCCTGTCCCCTCACCAGAAGCCTTCCCTTTTCTCTCTCCAGAACTCTTCCAGCACATTTTATCACAGCCCTTTCCCCCAAACTGAAATTTTTTTTTAACTTCAGTTCAGTGAACACTGAACAATACTCATAGAGTGTTGGCATTGGCTACGTACAACAGATCAGGCCTTGTCCCCCTGACCTCTCAAGGGTTCAGGCAGCCCCCCAGTTCAGATGGTATGATGAGTGTTTGCATGCAGCCTCTCTCTTTTGCTGGCTGGATGTCCTTCCTTCAGCCAAGGTCCCAACCTTAGGCAGAGGACACCAGCGAGCTAACTGAGGCCCATGGACATGCAGAATCATTAACCGACAAGCCCTTCCCCTCATCTTCACTCCTCTGTCCTCACGGACACAGCCCTCCCCTCAACTCCTCTGTGCGGATACAGTTAGAAAGTGCCCTTTGTCCTTTACAGATGGGGAAGGGAGAAGCTCGACATAGGCCCCAGGAGGCTGCTTCCATTTCTACCTGCCGCTCCTGTTGCCTCTCAGCCTCTGACCCTCAGTACCTGTTCTCAGCCAGTTCGCCTGTCGCCTCCACATCCTGTTCCCTCCACTGCTCCACTGGCTCCCTTGCAGGCACATACCGATAATACCTTTTCCCATTTTTTCCCCCTGCTTCTTTGATCCCATTTCCCTTTAAATTTTTTTTTTCCAGAAACACATAAAACCACATAATCATGGAAATAGAGTTGTTAGAGTTCGGTTCATACAGATGGTGGTTTTCAGGCTGAACCCTGGAGAAGGTAAATCAGTAGTTTATCTTCTGGGGAGGGATGATGGAGAAAGGCCCATGTGAGTGAGGTGTGAGTCAGAGAGGGTGGGGCCCAGGGGAAGTAGTCACCTCACTTCCCTTTAGTCAGGAAGGCTCCATGAATTTCAGGGGGAGTTTCAGCTGTTGGACTTGGTATTCTTCCCTGCCCACACACACATCTGGCCTTTATCCTTATCAAGAATGACTTCCTGGACTTTTTCAGTTTCTCCAGTTTATCAGCCTGCCCCCAGTGTAGGTAGTGTTCCATGGACCGTCTTACCTCCAAGACCTTCCACCCAGCTTCCCTGCAGGTTCTAAATGGTCCCATTTCCTTGCCGTCCGTTGATAAACTTACCCTTCTTTTCTGTATATTTCAGCCTATAAGGTGTTTTCCTGAGCCAAAGTCTAAACCGCGGCCCCCACCCCTGCCCTGTGTGTGCTGTATCTCATTGTCTTCCACACAGCACATAAACACGCTTAAGCCTCTTCCCATTAAAAACAACCCTTAGGGGAGCAGTGGATTACCCTGAACCCAGCAAAATGGAGCTTGAGGCCCTGAGTAGATGTACCAGTCCAGCGAACCCCGCTATCTTTCCCCATGTGGCTGTGGTGCTGTTGGCTGTTGACATGTTCTTCACCCCTGGTTGGTTGTTTATGAGGTCACCGCCGCCAAGTACACTTGCGATATCCACAGAGAGCTCCTCATCTCATTGGAGGCCTCACTCTTCATTGGCTTTCGAGTCCTCTGCCTGCTGCTCTGGGTCAGTGTCTATGTCTGAGCTCCCAAGGGTTCCAACCAAGGGTCCTCACTGCATCCTTCCTTTGGTAAATTAATTTTTGGTTTTTGTTTCTACTGTTGCTGGAAGTGTCCTACCTGCCGCTCACAGTAAAGGCATATATGTGAAAAATCAAAATCAAAACCTTTAGGAGGTGAGAGTCAGGCACTGATATTTTAAAAACTCTCCAGGTGATTCTGGTGTGCAGCCAGGGCTAAAAAAGATAAACAGCTAAATCCAGACTTCGTACCAGGCCACACAGAGCTCTTCATGACTGACTCCTGCCAACGTTCCCCCCCTTACCCACATGCCCTCTGGACTGGAGACTCCCCAGAACTCCCCACGCCAGCCATATCTCCTGCTTCCATGCCTTCACAGACATGCTTCCATCCGCCTGAAAATGTTTCCCTGCCTTCTTTAACACTCAGCTTTGGTGTCATTTCTGTGAAGCCTTCAAGAACTAACCCCCAGCTTGGGGTAAGGTGCCCCCCCCCCACCCCCTTACTGCTCTCTTAACCCTCTCGGTTTAACTCACGACTTGCTATTGTAACTGTTAATTTATCTATCTGTCTTCTTTTCTAGACTGTGAATATTTTTCAGGAACCCCAGTGCCTTGGAGATGCCATTTGGTAGGACGTGGTTTGGTGGTCTATATCAGATATTTGAAGGTGCTTTCTCCTAGGACTAGGACTGGAACTGAAGGAAGTGAGTCTTTGGGCATGTTAATGTAGTCAGTGGGCCTTTACTGAGGGCTTGCTGTGGTCATTTATTAATACCAGCATGGTCCAGTTGACTGATGGATAGTTGAAGATCTCTATCTCTTCCAGGTGGCACAGTGGTAAAGAATCCTCCTGCCAAGGCAAGAGATGGGAGAGATGTGGGTTTGACTCCTGGGTTGGGAAGATCCCCTGGAGTAGGAAAGGGCAGCCCACTCCAGTTTTTTTATCTAGAAAGTTCCATGGACAGAGGAGGCTGGCGAGTGACAGTCCATGGGCTCGGAAAGAGTTGGATAGAATTGAGCACAGCACCCACACATAAATCTCTACCATATTTAACCTCAGGAACTGTTTCATCACTTATAACAGTCTGCTTTGTCTCTAGATGGATGCTTAGTCCAAACCTCTCAATAGTGCTCTCCAAACAGTGCTTTGCACAGTTTATTTAGGAAGTATTTGTTGAATGAATGCTCATTAATTGACATACAAGCATATACCTTCTTGCTTCACCCCTTGGCTATGAAATATCAAGGTAGAAACAGTGCTGAGTACTTTACCTGGGTCATCTCCTTTAATCTTCACAGTCCTATGAGACAGGTGCTACTGGAGGTTCAGGTACTTACATTAAGTCATATAAGTACTAACTGGAGATTTAAAATCAGGTCTTTGGAGTTAGGTGTGACCCCCAGGGCTACTGAAGTATACCTAACACAATAAATATTTATTGACTCAACAGATACTGCCATCCCAAGGCAAGTAGAAAAGCTTTTGAATTCTTAACTGTCTTCCCAACTTGACTCTGGGTCCCTCAACTTTTCTTCCCTTTCTCACATTTCTCATTCACCCTAATACTCTGCAAACACTGTGAAGGAGCAGATGAGTCCAACATTGGTCAGATACTAGAGGTACAGAGACAACTAAAATATTGGTCCTTGCTGAAAAAAACTTACAGTGAGGGGGTATGCAGATAATTGAATTGCAGTGAGATTGTGAAAGTGAAGGGAGGGACTGTTTTATTGCCTGGAAAAGCTGCTTTTATCTTGAGTTAGGAGCCAGGGCTTGGAGGTGTGGGGGTATATGAAAGATGCTGATATCCTTGGGGAACAGTTAAAGCATAGGGTGTGGCCCAGGAGAATGGGGGGAGGCTGAGGACCAGATCAGGGTGGCCTTCAGGTGCAATGCTAATTAGTGTGAGCCTTTTGAATTCTTTTGCCATTTCCTTTCAAGGGTAGGTAGTCGTAGGTACTCGTGGACTGGATCAGAACTGTACTTTGGCTCTGACCTCTTAACTCTAAGACTAAACTTTCACATAGCTTGTTGTTTAGTGGCTAAGTGTCTGACTCTTGCGACCCCATGGACTGTAGCCCACCAGGCTTCTCTGTGCATGGGATTTCCCAGGCAGGAATACTGGAGTGGGTTGCCATGTCCTTCTCCAGGAGATCTTTCCTAACCCAGGATGGAACCTGAATCTCCTGCATTGGCAGGCAGGTTCTTTACCAGCTGCAGCACCGAGGAAGCCCCTCCACAAAGCTACATTCCACCACTGATGAACATTGTTTCTCCCAAACTGCCACCTCCTCTGAATTCCACATGTACATCATACCGTCCTGTGCACAGTTACTGGATCACTGTGTGCAATGATCAGCACTGTTCCAGGAGCTGCTGGAGATACAGATTTCATTTTGCTGAAACCGAGTGCTCAACCCAGTGGTTCTGTCTAGTTGGTGAGTGTATGGCGTGGGGAGGTGCAGGGAGCCAAACAAAGACAACTAAGTGTACAGAGTGAGTCCAGCTGTCTCGGGGAAACCTCCAGTGTCTATTTTTCCAAGCCTGTCAGTTTCCAGACCTTCTTGGGTGAGGGTGGTCTCTCATCTGCTCCCCGCCAGTACCCTTTCTCACTGGCTGCCAGTGTGAAGTGATTTGGCTAGACAGTGAACCCCATCTGGGGACAGCATCTGCCTTGTTCATTGATGTGCCACCAGCAATTAACCCCGTCTTGCACGTGGTAGGTGGTCAGTAATATGTGGGTATTTACTAACACAGGTCTGATTGTAGCCTCTTCAAAACTCTTTGGTTTCTCCTCTGCTTCCAGAATAAACCAAACTGCTCCATTTGGCCTTCCACATTCAGCCACAGCTGGCTTCACTTCCCCTTTTTCCTTCCACAGCCTTGAAGAGGCCAGCGTAGCCAGTGATTCATTCATTTCCCCTGCCCCAGGCTACTTGTATTCTCCCACCTCTGGCCCACACGGTCGTCTCAACAACTCCTAATGCTGGGCTCACCCAAGTTTATGGGCTGGTAAGGAAGGCTTCCCCACACAGCGGCTCCCTGGGCTGAGACCTTCCCGCCTACCGAGTCCACTCTCCAGGCCTGCAGCCCACCCCTCCGGCCCCACTCTCTGGAGAGGGAGCTCTATGAGGGGATGGCTGACCCTGGAACTTGCTCCAAGGTCCCAGGTGGGGTGGGTCGGCTACGAACAGAAGCTGTGTTCGTTGTGCTGGTGGATGAATCCCAGAGGGTCCAGAAGGAGGCCACGCAGGGGCTAAACACTAGGAAGGCGCAGGGTGCAGTTTCGGAGGGCGAGGGCCCGGGCCAGGCCGCGCGAGCTGACCGAGGCTGGAGGTGATGCGGCGGGAAGGGGTGGGGAGCCGGGGCTGGGCGCGCTTCCTGCCGGGGCCGGGCGCCCGCCCCTGCCTCCGCCCTGTGGGCCCAGCAGAGCCGGAGCTGGCGGGCCCATCAGAGCCGGGGCTGGCCGGCCCCTCCTGCCTGGACCAGAGGCCCAATCAGCGGGCGCCCCCTACCCGGCCCGCCCTCTCCCCCTCTGGTGACAGAAAGTCGGCCCAGCAGATGAGGAAGTGGCAGGCAGGCTGGCCCTGGGGACTCCTCTCCAGCCCTGCTCCATCCCAGCCCTCCACAACTGCCCGCCTGGCCCCCACTGGTGAGTCGAGACCTCCCAGGGCGGGCTCGCCACGTGCCCAGGCCCCTGACCCGCGGGGCCACCCGGCCCGGCCCTGCCTAGGCAGTGGGCGAGGCTGTGCCTGTGGAGAGTGGGTGGGAGGTCCCAGCTCTCCGGGGCTGGGCCTCCCCAGCAGCCTCCCTCGCGCCTGGCCCCCATTTGCTTGAACCTGGGCCTTCCTCCACCACCTCCTCCTCTGGCCCCTGTCCGTCTCTTACTCCTTCCTCCCCTTGGCGCCCTTTTGCACCCCCGCTGCTCCCTTCACCTATCTCCTTTTCCCTTCCATCCATCTTAAAGGAAGGAAGGACCAGACCGAGTTTCCCTACTGGGGACACACCTGGACTCTCCTCAAACTTGGGGAGAGGGCCTTCCAGAAGCCTGGAGCCACCCCTGACCTCCAGGGTGCCTGTGGGTGGGGGAGGTGAACTTGGGGATGGTGGCAGAGAGAGACTGGGAGATAACAAGCTGGCAAGCTCACACGGGTCGAGGAGGAGCTGTGTGTTAGAGCACATGCTTCTGGGCAGGCCCTACCCCAGAATAAGCAGCCAGCAACACTTTGACTGAATGAATGAATGACTGCCGTTGGTGAAAAGAGTTGTGGTTGTGCGTGACCCAGGGCAGGTGTATGTCTCCACATGGTGTGGGTGGTGTTGGCTTCATTCACCTGCAGGTGGGCTGTGTGAGTTTATGTCTGTGACCGCGCTCGTCTGAGACTCACAGACGTGAGAGGAAACCTGCGTTGTGAGCACAAGCACTTGCACATGGTAATGCGGCTCCTGTATGTGTGTTTAGGTGTGTTTGCCAGCTGTGTGCGTAGCTAGGAGCAGGCCTGAGTATTAGAGACCGTGCATGTCAAAGTCCACAAAGACTTGTCCGGGTAGTTTGTCAGACAAGAGCAGTTGCAGCCGACAGGAGGCAGGTGGGCTCTGTGTGTGCATGTGTGTGCCCGCCACTGGCGAGTTGTTGCAGGGGCAGAGGGAGAGCTGTGGCAGGGGCCGTGTGTATGGGAGGGCTGGGGGCCTGACCGTGGCGGGGCAGTTGTGGGTGGGCGTGGAGGTTGGAGGAGCATCTGTGAGATGAGTGTGCAGCCCCTGTGACTGTCAGAAGTTGTGTTCTTTACCTGCAGGGTTGCTTCTCTGGGTGGAGGGAACCTGGCCAACCCGCATGCAGGCAGCTCGCGGAGCACCTGCTGCGCTGGCTGTTTGGGGAGCGCCTTGCCCCTTGGGGGCTGTCTGTCTGGAGTCCCAGGCTGTCCTCCCGGCCAAGGCTTTTGTGTCCCTTCGAGCCCTCCCCCGACATTCCTTCAGGCTCAGAGAGGGACAGGGCCTAGTCAATTATGACCCCTCCTTGAGGGAGGGGAAGATTCCTGAGACCTCCCCCACTCCCCTCCTCCTCACATGCCACTGGCTCCCGGCCCCTCCCTGGGAGAGAGGGGTGATGGTACCCATTCTGAAGTAGGACAGCCTGAGAATTTATGGCTCATTTAGGAGAGGATGCCCTGGTATAGGTTTTCAGCAGTTCTCTTTGGGCTGAGGCTAGGCCTGGGGCTGGAGTCCAGGTTTTTGGCTTAAAACCTAGAGCTCATCTGACTGGCCCAAGGTGGCTGGGTGGGTGGTGAGTCCTGTGCTTTACTTGGCTTTCTCAATCCTGGTGGGTCCTCCAGGCACTGACCTGTGGCCTGGACCCACCCTCCACCTCTGATTCTGTGCAGTGGGGGTGGGCAGAGGGCGGGGCCACTGCCAGATCTAGTCAGACAGGTGGAGCCGCCAGGGCAGGAGTCTCAAAGAGCCAGGCTCCTGGAGAGGAAGGGTGAGAGGAGAGCGTCTGAGACAGAGGAGAGGCTGGAGGTGAGAGCCCAGGAGGGCAGAGGAGAGCGCGAGGGAGTGTCTCGGCAGGGGAGAGGAGGGAGGGACAGTTCCCTAGAGGACAGGAGGGACCATCCCAGGAGATGTGCATCCTGAAATAGGGCAAGAGAAATTAAAGGGGAGGACTTCTGGAGAGAAGGAAGACCCAGGTCTGGAGAGGTGAGAGACTGGCGAGGAAGGGAGAGGAGGTTTGTTCTGGAGATGAGTTCCCTGGCGGTAGGAGGTAAGCCTCTCTGGAAGGAGACCAGAAATTGATAGTCCTCTTGTGGAAGAAGAAGGGAGGGGAAGTCAGAAAGTAGAAATCCCTGGAGAGGAGCAGAGTGTGAGGATAGGAGAGGAAGGTGTGGAGAGGAAGGGCAGAACAGCCCTTCCCAGGCATGCAGGATGTGTGGGAAGCAGATCCCCCACCCACCCCACCCCCACCTCCACTGCCTCCTCCTTGCTCTGGTCCCTAGCAATTCCTTTCTCTCACTGCTGTGTCCTTTCTGTGGCAAGGTGTCTGGAACTGTCCTGTCTGGTCTGTGTCCTGTCTGTGGGTCAAGGGTGAAATTGGGGGGGGGGTGGTGTTGGGGGAAAAGTCAGCCCTCTCTGACACCTATCCACCTGACCTCATCAGAGTCCTTAGCCAGGATGGAGGCTGTTGTGAACCTGTACCAGGAGATGATGAAGCATGCAGGTGAGATGCTGTCTACTAGCCCTTCCTCCTTACAGACCCCTTGACCCTTTGTGACCTGACCTCATGTCTGCAAACCTGGTGGGGACCATTTGGACTCTGTGACCCTTCCTTACTTCTTTTACCCTTATTCATAGATCCGCGGGTCCAGGGCTACCCTCTGATGGGGTCCCCCCTGCTAATGACCTCCATCCTCCTGACCTATGTATACTTCGTTCTCTCACTGGGGCCTCGCATCATGGCCAACCGGAAGCCCTTCCAGCTCCGTGGCTTCATGGTTGTCTACAACTTCTCACTGGTGGCACTTTCTCTCTACATTGTCTATGAGGTAGGCCCCTGGGATGCCTCAGCTTTATTCCTACAGGATAATGGGTGGGCCCTTGGGCTAGAGGAGGCATCTTCTTTCCAGAGAGGCTCAGCTCTGTTTCTCCATCTAGAGCAGGGGTGCCCAACCTCCAGGCCATGATTGGGGACTGCTGGTTTAGAGAACAGAAGAGATCTGGGGGAGGGAGGGATGTCTGGCTCTCTAATCCACACTTCTTCATAGTTCCTGATGTCTGGCTGGCTAAGTTCCTACACCTGGCGCTGCGACCCAGTGGACTTTTCCAACAACCCGGAGGCACTGAGGGTAAGTGGTGGTGGAGGCCAGGCCCCAACCAACCAGGGGTAAGAGCACTTTGGATGTGCCATCTTATAGGCCCGTTTAGAGAGGCTCTTGGCAGTCCTAAAGATGTCCTGACTTCTTACAGATGGTTCGAGTGGCCTGGCTCTTCCTCTTCTCCAAGTTCATTGAGCTGATAGACACAGTGAGTAATTACATGAGATTTGGGAACGTGTGGGGAGAAAGAAGTGAGAGGCCTTGGCTCTGAAGCCCCTTCCCCCCACACTTCTCTCAGGTGATCTTTGTTCTCCGGAAGAAAGATGGACAGGTGACCTTCCTACATGTCTTCCATCACTCAGTGCTTCCCTGGAGCTGGTGGTGGGGGGTAAAAATAGCCCCAGGTGAGTGGCGAAGGCCACTGGGGGAGGGACAGGTCCTGGGCACCAGAGGCTTGACTCTCCTGACCCTGTGTGTTGTCCACTCACAGGAGGAATGGGTTCTTTCCACGCCATGATAAACTCCTCTGTGCACGTCATCATGTACCTGTACTATGGATTGTCTGCCCTTGGCCCTGTGGCTCAGCCCTACCTTTGGTGGAAAAAGCACATGACAGCCATCCAGCTGGTGAGTGGACTGAGCCTGACCCACAATCATCCCCCCAGCATTCTGGTTTGGACCCTACCTTTACCCAACCTACCTCACCTTTGACTCCAGCCCTCCCCACTCAGTGTTCTATCCCCTTGCCCTCCAGTCCTCTCTCCCTGTGCCCTCTGACCCATGCCTTTTGGTCCCAGATCCAGTTTGTCCTGGTCTCGCTGCACATCTCCCAGTACTACTTCCTGCCCAGTTGTAACTACCAGTACCCAGTCATCATCCACCTCATCTGGATGTACGGCACCATCTTCTTCGTGCTCTTCTCCAATTTCTGGTATCAGTCTTACACTAAAGGCAAGCGGCTGCCCCGTGTACTTCAGCAAAATGGAGTTCCAGGTACCACCAAAGTCAAGGCCAACTAAGAAACATGGCCTAGCTAGGTGCCCACCTAAGTGCCTCAGGACTGCACCTTGGGCAGCAGCTGTCATTGTCCTCCCCAGCTACACCTGTGACCAGGGCTTATGTGGTCAGGACTGAGCAGCAGACAGCTCTCTGCTCCCCACAGCTGGTACACAGAGACCACCGCTTCCGTTCCTCCCTGACTTCTCCCGGCCAGCCCCAGGGATGTGGCCTCACTGCCCTCTGCCACTCCAGAGCCGGGGGCTGAAAGGGCTGGACACTTACTTCGCCCTCCCTGCCTTACACTTGGGAGAGGAGCACTCAGGGCTGGCCCCCACCAGGGTCTTGTGGCCTTTTTCCTCACACTGAAGAGGTCAGCAATAATCTGTCACTGTGGACCCAGGCTCCCCCTTTCTCCACCCCACAATGAAGTAGGAGATTCTTGGCCAAAGGTCAGGGTGGGTGGGGGGCCTGGGAATATAGCCTGCGGAGGCTGCTCACTCCTTTATGTCTTTATTAAAAGTGACAGAGGAAAGCACGGTGGCTGTGTGTGTGTACATGTGTCAATGGAAAAAGTGGGTACAAAGCCTGCCAGCCTGTCTGCAAACAGGATGGGTGGTCAAGGTGCCCGCAGGATCGATGTTTCTAGCTCTCTGATCACAGTAGAGAGGAGCCTCTGGGAAGGCTGCTGGGACAGAGGTCGTGCCAGAAGAGAGGGAGATGTGACTTTATTAGAAAAGTAAAAAAACAAAACAAAACAAAAAACAAACCCCACAAAACACTGCGAGGAGTTGGTCCTCAGCGGATGCCTTGGTGGATGAGGCTACTTTTGGCCGCACTGGCCTTCTCCCGCTCCCGCCGCCGGGCAGGGTCCAGCTCAAAGCAGCGCCACAGCCGCAGGGTCTCATCTGCTGCTGCGGACGCCACTGTAGCCCCATCTGGGCTCATAGTCAGACTGAGTACCCGGGCTGTGTGACCTGGGATATGAGGAGGAAAAAAGGGAGAGCAATGCATAGGATTGTAGGTACCTATACCCCTCCAATTTTGAGAGTTTTTTTAACAGTTTAATTGAGATAATTAACAAGTCATATACTATAAAATTGATCTTTTTAAAGCATACAATTCATTGGTTTCTAAAGTTGTGCAACCATCACAATGATAATTCATCACTCCATAAAGACAGTCACTCCTCAGTACTCTCTCCTCCCAGCCTCTGGCAACCATTAATCTGTTTTCTGTCTCTCTGCATTTGCCTCTACTGGACATTTCATACAAATAGTCATACAATATGTGCCCTTTTGTGCCTGGCACTTAGCACCTACCTTTCAGCTCAGCCACCTTGGCCATGGTTGGGTACTTCCAAATAACCAGCTGGTTCTGGGCAAAGCCGTGGCCTGAGATGAGCTCCTTGTAGTGGGGAGACCAGAGGATGGAGCACACCTGTGGAGAGGAGATGGCATGGGCATGACATACATAGAGCCAACACTACTCAAATCGGAACCGCATCCACTGTGGTGTCAGGCACTCTGCCAGAGGCTACAGACTCAGACTTGAGTAACTGTAGTCCTTACAAAACCCTTTTGAGAGTTAGACCTGTTAACCATTTTATAGATGAGAAATCAATTGGAAGATTCAGTAAGTTGTCTAAGCTCACATGCAAATTAAATTAGTTAAGTTAGTAGGTGATGGAGCCAGAATTTGAACTCTGACTCCAGAGTCTGAGGCTAGAATAAAGCAAAGTCTGCATGTACTGGGCAAGGGGGTGTCTGTCAGGAGAGGAAGCTGCAGTGCCTGCAGGGAGACCCACCTTTGAGCTAGGACCTCAAATATCATTCTAAAACATTTGGATTATACACTGTAGGTAATTGGGAGCCCTTGCAGGGCTTGAGGAGGATAGAAACAGACTACCCAGACCAATATAGAGGGCAGACTGGAAGCAATAAAAGACCAGTGCTGTGAGCCTCCACAGGAAGAAGGATGAGGCCGAGGCGAGGGGACACATGTGAATGATACTCTGAGGGAAAACTGATATATCTTGGTGACTAGGTGAGGAAGATGAAAGAGTATTGTTCAGATTTCTTACTATCCCTCTCAAATAGCAGAGGAGGAACACACATTTCAGGGAGGCAAGGGGAAGCGACAAGTTTAATTTGGGACATACTAGGGTGGTGCCACCTTACAGAATGTGGGGTTAGAGACAGGCTGGTTGTGGACTGTTGAAAATGTGTGTCTGGAATTGAAGGGTGACATCTGAGCTTGGCAATCATGCCAGTATTGCCTCGGTGAAGCCATTGGTGGGGAGGAGGTTGCCCAGGAAAGCTACACAGAATAAGAGCACGTCTGGAAGTGAGGCTAGAATAAGGACTACCTGGGAATGGGCATCCACGGCACTTAGACAGGCCCCAGAGCAGACGTTCCAGATCCGAATGTGTCGATCACTCGTGCCCCCGCCAGTTGCCAGGACGTTGGACTGCCAGGGACACCAAGCTACAGCCTAGATGGGACAAAGGTGAAGTCAGCAGGTGCTGGAGCAAGACAAGGAGTTACCGGGCACACAGATTAACTCGGTCCAATTCCATCATCCCACGTCCTCTTAATAGTCCCCAGGTGGTTCTAGGTGAGAGTCTGCAGAGGGCAAGCCCAGCCCCACTCTCACCTTGACAGCCCCTTGATGCTGGGTGAAGGTCTGCAGAGGAACCCAGCCACCCTCTCCAGGAGCACTAGGCCACACGTTGACCAAGTTGTCGTTGCCGCCACTGGCTAAATGTCGTCCATCTGGGGCCCAGCGCAAGCCACACACTTCTTGGCTATGGCCACTCAGTGTGGCCACATGGTGTTCTGCTACCCGAACATCATGGTGGTGGATGTGGCCGGAGCGTGAGCCACTGCAGGAGGGGAGAAGGGAACCAAGTCCTGTAGCAGTGCCAAACAGGCGGCAGGCCAGAGCTGCTTCTGTTAGAGGTGTACAGTCCAGGGAGAGGGGGGCCAAAATCTGATTTTGTAACAGATTAGTAAAGCCACTGACCTGGACAGGATATAGCTATTCCAACAGAGGGAGCCCACTCGGGCAGAATGACTGGTCATGTTTCGAAGCCGTTTCTGCTGTTGCACATCCCATAGCTACAGAGAGAGAAGACCATGAGGATCGGGACTTGGCATTAGAATCGTCCTGCTGGGCAAGCCCCCGGGTCTGGGGACAATAGAGCTGCAGCACCAGGACAAGTCTCACCTGCACCTCGGCACTGCTGGTGCCCACAGCCAGGTAGTTGCCCTCTTTGATCCAGGCCACAGAAGATATATAGTCCCCAGGCTGCTCCATTTGCAGCAGCTGCAAAATGTCACCAGTGCTAGCACTCCACAAGTATACACTGTTGTCCAAAGCCACAGCCAGTACATTCCCAGAGCTCCAATCCACAAGGTTCAGGTCTGCCAGAGGGGAAAGGGAAGAGCATGAGCTGTCCTGTTTGCCTTGTCCCTCTCCCTCTTTCTCCATCCGCTGGACAAGGAGAAGACTGCACTTACAGTAGTCATTCCGGATTTCAGGGGCATCCAGGATGCGGTCTGGCAGGGAAGGAATGTAGCGGCAAGTCTTCCTGCTGGAGCCTGGCGTGGCCTTCTGGCTATAGAGTACTTTTAGCCTGTTCTGGTAACCTGTGGCAACAGAATGGGTCTAGACTGGGAGGATTGACACTTCCACACGCCTTTAGACAGGAAGGCCAGATAAGCACTTCTTTCCCCTCAGTCTTAGGTGGAAAAGGCAGACAGCCATCTCATCCGTCCTGAGCCCTGGGGATAGACTGACATCTTACCCTCTGGGGCATTTTGTGGTTTTCCACTGAGCCGAAGGATCTTGGCTTCTTCCATGTCAAAACCGTTCAGATTCAAAGCCCATGCTTTCTGATGTTCCTGGCACATAAGGGTGGGGATGAGGTGGCGGTATTATCTAGATTTCACAAACCAGTTTCCTGCTAGAAGTCCCCTGGGATACATACCTTCTTGGTGGGCGTCTCACTGTTGTCGGGCTGGTTCTCCTTGCTCAGGAGGAAGCTAGCCACCTCCATCTGGGAAGCATTGCGATGGGGGATATAGCGGTCACCGCCAGGTTTGCTGGGAGTGGTCTGAAGCTTGGAGCTGGATTTGCCTGGGACAGGGACAGGGAAGCCACACTCTCAGACCCGGTTCAGGGTGAGGAGGCGTGAAGGCTGCTTCAAGCCCTTGCCCTTTCCTCCCCGCGACCCGCCGCACCCTACTGACCGGGAGTTCGGCCTGGAGTCCTGCCGGCGCTGTGGGATCGATTGGCTGCCCGCATAGGCGAGGGGGCCGGCCCCGCGGCTTCCTTCGCTTTGCGCTGCCAGCGCGCAGGGGGTGCATTGGGGATGGGTGTATCTAGCTGCAGCAGCGAGTGCAAGTCACTCTCGAACACGAACTGGGCCATGGGAGCGTCTGGAGGGAGAGGGTTCCTTGCAGTGGCTGCCCGCTGAGCCCCAGAGTAAGAGAGGCGACCGTGCTCTGGGGCGGCCGACCACAGTCAGGACCACCCTTGCCACAGCCCTTCCCGGCCCAGCACCCTCGGCCGCGGCCCCAGACCGGTTCGCTCAGTCCAGCCGTCTCTCACCGTTAGTTTAAGAGCAGGTTCCGATCCTAGACCGGCTTTAGCAGTGAGGACTTGAACGACTTAAACTCTCCGCTCCAAGCACTCATTGGCTCCTTCAAAATCCAACCGTCGCAACCGTCGCCCTAGACCATTGGCCTCCACGGCACAGGGGGCGGGTCTTCCGGGGGAAGCTCCCGATCTCACGGGAGTCCAGCAAGCGAGCGGGATTTGAAGGGTGGGAGAAAGGCAAAGGCAGCTTCTACGCCACCAGGTGTCGGGAAACGGGGCGGGGCGGGGCGCGTCTGGGGGCGGGGCCTGCGCTGGCTGCCTTCCCCTATTGGTTTCATTCATTCCTCAGGCTCCCCGGCACCGTCCTTCACGCTTCATGCTTGAGGATCGTTTTTATGATACGAGGTGCAGAACTCGGTGGGATGACCTAAACACTTAAACCTGTTTAGAGAAGGCAGTGTAAGGCAGTGGCCGACCAGCCGAAGGCAGGCAGGAAGGTTAGGAGTGGGGTGCTGCAGGAGGTGACTGAGAAACTTAGAAGCAGAAGAGAGAAGGCCGGAGCGTCCTGTTAGCTTAGTGCCTGCGGGAACACTGCTAGGAAGGTAGAAGTGCCTGTGTTTGTTTTCAAAAACTGTTTTGTTTGCTGTTGTTTTAGAAACAAGGAAAATTAAGCTGAAAGAGGGGTGAATTCCTTATGGTCAAGAAAAAAGATCAGGATTCAGACCTGCCTATCTGGGAGGTTAAGATTGGATAGCCCTGTGAGGGAAACTGGGGCTGACCCCCATGGAGCTTGAGATGTCAGGATTTTTAGAGATCCACGAGTCTAATCTGCACGTGGTGCATCTCCGCATCCCAGCAACACACCCGTATTTTACAGATGAAGAATCCGCAGCCCAGAAAGGGATTTGTGCAAGGTCGCATGCTGGTGGGAGTCCAGATTTGACTCCTGTTCAATAGAGTCTCTAATAGTGACTTCAGTGAATTGTATGATATACTTAGAGGTGAAGCAGCAATCATAAAAATGATAATGGGCACCATTACTGACCATCTGCTAACTATGATGTTTAAAAGAGTTTACGTACATTACTGCAGGTAATTCTTAATCCCATAAGGCAGAAAATTTATTCCCTTTTTACAAAAAAAAAAAAAAAAAAAGAAAGAAAGAAACCAGGTCAGGGAAAGTTGAGAAACTTGCCCAAAGGCACACAGTCAATAATAATTAGTGGAGCCAAACTATCTAACTAACCTCAGCAATCTAACCATATTCTACACTGTCCCAGAGAGGGCTAGGGAAAAAAAAAAATCTTTAGCCTAAAATCAATTCTGATAATGACAGAGAAAATTTTGGAGTTTTCACCAAACGATATTGTTATTACCTTTAATTTTGAATCATTCATGTTATCTCTTTCCAATTACCTCGGAAAACAAGGATTTAGGTGTCCTAGGGTTGGAAATGGGGAGTCCCTGAACCCTAGAGGACATAAAGGAGTCAAGCTGGTCAGGGCCATAAATGTTAAGCTAAGGAGTTTGGACTTTTATCTGCTAGGCATTGTGGAGTCAATTAGAGTCTCCATTCAGGGGAGGGCCAAGCAAAACATTTCTGAGGACAAGGCATGGCCAGCAATTTGCAGTTTCTGGAGTAAGGGTCACAGTAGAGGAAGAGAACAACTGGGTAAATAAGGGTACAACTTCAGGGAATTTGAACCTTGAAAAGTAAAGGAATGACAGGGCTTCTTTGGTGGCTCAGTGGTAAAGAATCGACCTGCTAGTGCAGGAGACACCGGTTTGATCCCTGGTCCAGGAAGACCTCACATGCCATGGAACGACTAAGCCAGTGCGGCACAACTACTGAGGCTGCGCTCCAGAACCCAGGAGCTGCAGCCACTGAGCCCACACGCCACACTACTGAAACGCGAGTGTCCTAGAGCCTGTGCTCTGCAACAAGAGCCACCACAATGAGCAGCCTGTGCACTGCAGCTAGACAGTGGCTTCTCTGCAACTACAGAAAAGCCCCACAGCAACAAAGACCCACCACAGCCCAAACAGTAAATAAATAAAGTTATTTTTTTAAAGACCATTAGAAAAAGACCTTTAATTAAAAAAATAAAAAAAAATAAGAATAAAGGAATGGCAGAAGCCAGTGGAGATTGTACTGACATGAACCTTGAAGTGGGAGGAATTTTAACATGCAAAATAGTCGAGTGATGACAGAAAAGGTCAGAGTTGGCTATTGAGAAACAAATCATGGGTGACCTTGGAGAGAAAGGGATCGGGAAGGGGGTGCTCAGGTTTCCTTTGGAAGGGGTTGCAGAAAGGAGGGTGGGGAGAATATGGAGGCAGCAAGCATGGGCTACTTATATAAGAAATTGGAGAGTGAGAATGAGGGAGCTGGAGGGAAGGCCAGCACTAAGATCCTATGCATCTTTTATTTAAAATTTTTATTTCTGGCTATACCGGGTCTTGGTTGTTTCCCTAGTTGCAGAGGAGGCTACCCTTCGTTGGGTTGCCCGAGCTTCTCGTTGCGGTGGCTTCTCTTGCTGAAGAGCAGGGGCTCTAGGGTGCTTGGACTCTAGCAGTTGTGGTGCACAGGCTTAGTTGCCTCGAGGCATGTGGGATCTTCCTGGACGAGGAATCAAATCAGTGTTAACTGCATTGGCAGGTGGGTTCTTATCCACTGGACTTCCAGGGAAGTCCTGCCTATGCATCTTTGAAGATGAAGGCAAAAGAGCCAGAGGAGATAGAAGAGGCCAGGCAATGGCCTGTTGGTAGAGCAAGGTGTCTGGATACCTGATGAGCTGCTTAGATAAGGGAACTCTCACCTGAAGGACCTGAAGGAGAAGATATAGAGGGAATAAAATATAGGTAATATTCAGGGGGTGGAACAGTCCAGTTGGAATAATAATAAAGATAACTCTGTAAATACTGAGTAGTTACTATGTGCTTGGCATTGTACTAACACTTTTAATCCTCACACAGCAAAATAACAGAAGAGAATGAGATCAGTTCTGAAGAGCCAAACTAAAGATTTAGAAGTAAAGAGTGAACAAGGAGTGAGATGAACAGGAAGATCAGTCTGGAGGCAACATACAGGTTGGATTTAGGGAGAAAGACTGGAGGCAGAGGTAGTTGGTAGAGGCTGCAATAATAGCTCAGTGAGGATGGAGAAGAGGAGACAGAATTTGGTAAGTAAAAGGGGTAAGGACATGATGGCTGAATCGGTATAGAGGTGAGAGTTTCAGTGGTTTGGTTCTCAACCCTAGTTTTGAGTCCCTAGGAGTCAAGTTGGAGCCTTGAACATGGCTTGGGGAAGGAAGTATGGAAAGTGAGTATACTAGACGTCATCCATTTGTCCCATCCAGGTCCACATTTCATCCTTCTCTATTCTGTTCTGTGCCCTATGAGGCTGACTCATATGGCCTGCGTCAGTGGATTCCCTTGGGCTCTGGTTTCTGTTTGTATTTCACCAATGGGAGGATGTTATGGGTTAAATTGTGTCCCTCACCCCCAAATTTATATGTTGGATACTTAAGTCCTAGTACTTCAGTTCAGTTCAGTTCAGTCGCTCAGTCGTGTCCAACTCTTTGCGACTCCATGAATCGCAGCATGCCAGGCCTCCCTGTCCATCACCAACTCCTCAAACTCATGTCCATCAAGTCGGTGATGCCATCCAGCCATCTCATCCTGTGTCGTCCCCTTCTCCTCCTGCCTCCGATCCCTCCCAGCATCAGGGTCTTTTCCAATGAGTAAACTCTTCGCATGAGGTACTTCAGAGTGTGAACTTATTTAGAAATAGAGTCACTCCAGAATATAATTAGTTAAGATGAAGTCATTTGCGTGGGCCCTAATCTAATATGCAGAGAAGGCAATGGCAACCCACTCCAGTATTCTTGCCTGGAAAATCCCATGGACGGAGGAACCTGGTAGGCTGCAGTCCATGGGGTTGCTGAGTCAGACTCGACTGAGCGACTTCACTTTCACTTTTCACTTTCATGCATTGGAGAAGGAAATGGCAGCCCACTCCAGTATTCTTGCCTGGAGAATCCCGGGGACATAGGAGCCTAGTGGCTGCCGTCTATGGGGTCGCACAGAGTCGGACACGACTGAGGCAACTTAGCAGCAGCAGCAGCAATCCAATATGACTTGTGTCCTTATAAAATGGAGAAGTTTGGACACACACACATGAAAGAGAGAACGCCATATGAAGATGAAGGCAGAGGAGAGGAGGAGAGGCCTAGAAACAAATCTAGGAACACCAGGAAAGCCCCAGAAGCGAGGGGAGAGGAATGGAACAGATTCTTTCTTACTGCTCTCAGAGGCAACCAACCCTGCTGAAACCTTGAATTTCTAGCCTCCAAAACTATGAGACAATAAATGTCTGTTGTTTGTGATATTCTGTTAGGGCAGTGCTTGCAAACTAATACAGGGGGGGTCAAAGGGTGGTGTTGGAGGGAGGGAGGGGGAACAGGCAGGAGCTATTTGTTCCCCTGGCTCCATTACTGTTACATCCCCACAAGCTGGCTGCAGCTCTCTGCCACAGCTCCTGCCAGGCAGCCCTCTCTGTAACCACTCTCTCCTGTGACCCCTTGATAACCAGGGTGGGGAGGGGTGGACACCACCTCCCAGCTGCTGTTAGCCCCAGGATGCTGCACTATTCCTTGATCTTTTTCCTAAATCTTGCCCCATCTTTGTAAATATGCCCTATATTAAACTCTCATCCAGATACCCAGACTGAGTGTGTGTGTGTCATCTATTTCTGCCAAGGCTCTGACTGATACACTGGGTATGTTTGGAGTCAGCAAAAAATAACATTTGTTTGAGAATTTGAATGGGTCAGGAATCCATAATCAGAATGGCCTAAGCATATTTACCACTGTATATGAATGGTGTAGAGGATGAGAGAGGTTGGCATGGGATGAGGTGGCATTGTCCAGAAAGATTTCCTTCATTTAGAAAACATTTATTGGAGGCCTGCTATGGTGAATCAAGCACTACTCTAGGTGCTTAGGGGGTAGGGGAGGGGGGGAGGCAGATGAATCAGCGCCCTTGCCCTCAAGGAGCTCACAATCTAGTAGTGGAAGACAGACATGCAAACAGTTATTTGCATAAAGCATTTCAGGTGCTATAGTAAAAGTCTGGGTTGGAGATAAGAGCTTTAGAATGGTCCGCATGTAAGAAAGGCTATGAGAGCAGATGGGTCGGAGACTGTTAAGAATTGACTCTTAAGTGACTGCAATAATTAAGAAGTGGAAGATAAGCCAAGATAAG